TCCGTGCTTACACTTTATATTTAGCCATCTCATCCACAAGTTTCAACTCTCCTTCGGCAACTTCGATAACTTCCTCTATCAAGCCCGCGCCGATCTGATTTTCGATTTCGGAGATCCTACAAGATCAATATCAGAATAACAGATCCACAATGACGAATGAATGAATACATAAAAATAAATCCATAAAATATGAATCCAGCAGTTCTAGGACATGTGGAAAGATGTAGATCTTACTGCGCTGCTTCCAACGCTGGTTCCTCATACAAATCAACCCCGGGCTCTGTCGGAGCATCCCCCTCGGCTTCCTCAATCTGTTTTGCTCGGTACGTTCTCGACCAGAGTGCTACAGCGGCCTTCTCTTCCTCAGGAAGCTGTTCGAATTGTTCACTCTCCTCCTTTATTTGCTGCAGCGCATGCTCCATACCCTCATTGTAGTGTCTTCTTTCAAGGTCAGACACCCGGCCAGCCAATATCGAGTAGACACCGGCAAGAGAACCGCTGGGTGTTGTGATCTTCTTGACCAGATCTGGATTTGCAGTAATTTTTTCCTGTACTTCCTGCAGCCACTTATCGTATCCGGGAGGTTTGGTGGATTCGACTATCTTCAATCGCTGCTGTGTAAGGGCTTCTGTGGCTTTACGGTAGACGGAAGACCCAGGGATCTGCTTGAGTTTGTTCAGAGTGTTGGTGTATAGGATGAGGAGCGCTTGTCGGGGTCTTGGGTGGGTGGCTAAGCCGGTGAGGCCTGTAGGTGCATGAGGTTGGAGGAATCGAGCTGACTTGACGTCGGCCAGCAATCGTTGAGTGGACCTCATGATGGGAGGGAATGTGAAGAGAATCCCAGATTAGAGCAAGAATCTGGGTCCAATTGGTGTCGAGAACAAAACGTGCTCAGCAACTGTCTCTCTCTCTCTCTCTCTTTGTGTGCGTCTTCTCAAATGTACATACTCACTGTTCGTTGGTTCAAATATCGCCGCCAACGAAGGTTGCGCGGCGCTCGGATCCGGAAAAACATAAACCCGCGCTTATGTGAGGCTCTTAGGGCTCTACTTAAGGGGAAACTCCACCTCAGCAGGTCAACGCCCTCTATTAATGAATGATTGCTGGTTATCCGCTACATCTATCGCAGTTCGAGCGGAATCCGCGGTCTCTACCTTTGATCTCGTGCTTCCATGGATGAAAGCCGTATCCAGCTCCCTTATCACGATCGTCCATGCCCGAGATTACCGCTTCACGCTTACGCCAATAGAAAAATAATTAACCCTTCCATTGATTACGGATATCCTGCTGTTCTCGACTAGATACGGATACTCGCTAGCACTGCACAGCAGCATTTGGGGACAGATTTAACTCTGTTCTTGGGGCCCGTCGGCCTGAACCTCTTACAATGAAGACGTCACTCCTTTCATGGTCATTACTTTCCTTGATTTTGAATCCCGTCACCTCAACCTCGACGAGCAACACTGGATCCGACGATTTTTCGAAAAAGCCATCAGCTCCCCAGGCGAACGTCCAAGCAGACAAATCACCGGGAAGCTCTCACACGGTGTTTAATGGCGTCGAAGTTCCCCCAATGAAAGAGCTTAATGCGACTAATTTTGATGAAACTATTAAGGAGGGTTACTGGTACGACCTCTAATCTCTTGTTTCCTCGATGATCGGACAACTTTTTGGAAACTAATCAGAGTCTGATATTCCCCTACAGGTTTGTGAAGCATTACTCTCCATATTGCCCGTATTGCTTGGACATCGCTCCAACGTGGCAAACGCTATACGAATTCTATTATGTCAGTTTATCTCACTGTTCCTTTTACAACATACCAAGTTATTAATTGCCAGCAGACCTCAAATCCCCTATCGGCCTCAACATCCAAGCAAGGCCCGGCTGCGCAATCCTCCCTGAATTCCTTTAATGGGTTCTACAACTTTCATTTCGCTTCAATGGACTGCATCGCAAATGCAGATAAATGCCAGGCGCTTAAAGTGGCTGCATTCCCCATGTTCATACTCTACTACAAGGGTGAGAAGTTGGAATCCTTTATTGGTAAAAAGTCAATCAAAGCCATGAGCGAGTTTATCGAGGAGAAATTGGAACACATTAAGCCCGGTTCAAGACCCCTGAAGGGTCTAAAGCTACCGAAACCTGGCGATACCAAGGTTGATCCAACTCCGCTTAGTGATACATCGGGATCCAAACTCGAATCAAAACCAGAAGGAAAATCAGAAACTTCAACTCCTGTGTCGACAACAAGTGGAAAGCCCCAGTCTGCGCGGCCCTTGCCCAACCCTCAAGGCACATCGATCCCCCTCACGGCTGAAAGTTTCCAGAAACTGGTCACAACCACTCATGTTCCATGGTTTATCAAGTTCTATACACAATGGTGCAGCCATTGCCAGGCCATGGCTCCCTCATGGGAACAGATGTCCAAGGATATGAAAGGTATTTTAAATGTTGGCGAAGTTAACTGTGAGACTGAGCGGCGATTGTGCAAAGATGCCCGCGTTAGCTCCTATCCAACTATTTACTTTTTCAGGGGTGGAGAGCGTGTCGAGTATCACGGGCTTAGAGGCCTGGGAGACCTGGTCAGCTACGCTAGAAAGGCAGCCGAAGTTGTGGGCAACGGCGTTCAATATGTTGATGCAGCTGCCTTTAAGGAAATGGAGCAAACAGAAGAGGTAATTTTCTTGTATTTCTTCGACAAGGCTACCACTTCAGAGGACTTTGCCGCCCTGGACCGCTTAACTTTGAGCTTAGTGGGACGTGCAAGGCTGGTCAAGACCGATAGCGAGATTCTCGCTACGAGATTCAGAATTTCTACCTGGCCTCGTCTTCTCGTCTCGAGAGATGGGAAACCCAGTTACTACAACGCCCTTGCGCCTAAAGATATGCGAGATTTCCGACAGGTTCTTAGCTGGATGGAAAGCGTGTGGCTTCCAATTGTCCCAGAGCTTACAGCGACGAACGCTCGCGAGATCCTCCCTGGAAAATTTGTGGTCCTTGGTATCCTCAGTCGACTGCGCTCAGATGAATTCATCCAGGATAAAAAGGAGCTGAAAAATGCTGCGCTTGAGTGGATGGATAAACAGACGAAATTATTCCAACTTGAGCGCCAGGAACTTCGAGACGCGAAAGAATTGCGTATCGAAGAGGCAGAGGACCGAAATGACCAGCGAGCGCTCCGTGCAGCAAAAAATAGACAAATCACCATCCGGGAGAGCGATAAAAAACAGGTCGTTTTCGCATGGGTCGACGGTATATTCTGGGATCGATGGCTTCGTACAACTTATGGTATTGATGTTAGAAACGGAGAACGTGTCATCATCAATGACGAGGACGTAAGTAATATTTTATTTCATACTTGCCCCAGTAACATAATATCCAACATATACCTTTTCTCCCGACCTCTTGCTACCAAAACTGACTCATCGCCCCATGAAACAGAATCGCCGATACTGGGACACCACCACAAGCGGTGCCTACATCATGCCCAGCCGTACCTCCATTCTCGACACCATCACCCAAGTCATCTCCCCATCCTCGAAGCTTAAGCCGAAATCCACAGTTGGTTTCTTTGAAGGCCTATTCTTCAAAACACGCTCCTTTATTCATGCTCACCCTTTCATATTCATTGCTCTCATCTTCCTTGTTTTGGCATTCTCATCCCTTTGCGTGAAGGGTAGATTAAGAAGACTCAGAGGTGCTGGGGGGCTCCTTGGTGCCGTCACTGGTACCTCAGGTGGTGGATTCTTCCACCTCGATGGAAAGGAGGGCCTGCTTGGTGTTGGAAACAGTTCAGGGAAAGTTGACTAGTTGGAACTTTCTTCTCTTTCTTATTTTTTTTTTTTTTTTTTCCCGTTCCTTTTTCTTTCCTCTCGGTTTTCCCCACTCTTCCTTCTCCATTTGCTATTTTCCCTTTTCTTGATTTTGTAGTTCCTTTTCCTCTTTTTCTCTGTTAATCTTCCCTTTTCATCTTATAGTACTTTTTTCTTCCATGTGCTTTCCCCCCGGTAGCTGGCTTTACTTCTTTTCATGTCTTCCACTTTTGTGTTCTGTTTATCTTCACCTACTCATTGCATTATTTTTTTTATGTAACTCCAGTGGAGTCTTAAGTGGTGAATAAACATCTGCTTTTGTTGTCTGGGATGAGGGGATGAAAGAGATCTGTCTCAATTATAGCCAGGCCATGTCTTGTGGGTGAATGAGCCCGGGTATATTCAAGAGAATAGGAGATGAGAGGATTAGAAAATAGCAGCTAGCTGAGCAGGAAAGTTGTGAGCAAGAAAGAGAGAAAAGAGAAAATAATGTGGGAGAAATATGAGAAAGTATGATCATCGGATATATAGCTAATAGACAAACAGCATTTTCATTGGAATTTTTGTTTTTTCAATTGCAGCGTTTATTGTCACCATATTCTCGATTTTCTGATATGTATAGATTGTAGGTAGGTTATTTATTCATAGCTATTAATATAGGCATGTTATGTTCTTTGCAACTGGATTATGAAAAGTGGATCTCTGTGACAATGGAAATAAGTGGAATTATTAGATGTAATGCAGTTGATGAAGTTGAAGTTGTTTTCTACTCAAGGAAGTAGATTTGACGTTCGATCTCAGGTTCTAGCATCACACGCACTTTCTTCAACCTAGACTAGAAATAATGATGTTTTCGTTTTGATGAGCGCACAGGAGACAAGTTTAATATGATCCTGGAAAATAGGAGTGTCTCTCTTCGCCCATACTTACCACAAGTACAGGACCCTAACTATCTAAGTGCGAGCAGCGATCCTTACGCCAATAACAATAAGAAAGCCGGAACCATCCAAAAACTACCCAAAGAATTCCATGTAGATGAGAATAATCAAATGAATTAAAAAGATATTTTTACTTCACCTCAATATCAACAACAGGTTTCCCTGCAGAAGTGAAGGATGACATACCTCAATTCTCCCCTTGTCAACTTCCATGCTTTCGATAACGGCGGACGCTTCCTCTCCAAACTACTAGATACGATGTTCAATGTTGATTTTGGGACCTCTGAACCACTTATGCGCATCAACAAACCACCATATGGTTATTAGGAGCATGAGGCCGCCGTAGACGACGCAAGTCCAGTTCATTTCTTCGAGGCTAGTGGGAAAATGGAAGGGCATTAGTGTGCCCAGGGTCAGATGATTTGAAGGGAAAAAAGTAGATAAACATAAGTAAAACCCGATTTCAAACTCACGTCAGCTCCGAACCAGTCTTTGCCGGAAGACACAAAATCGGAATCATCAATATGACAAACATGACTCCCGCAGTGCCGATGGGCGTGCTATATTTACCCAAATTCCACGGCCCGGGTCGGAACCGGCTCTTTACGACGAGAATGCGGATGGCAATGGGGATCGCGAAGGCAGTGAATGCAGCAATGGCACCGATTGAAAATAAAGCGCCAATGGCAATTTCCCCTGCAAAAATGAGCAGGCAGGATAATATACCAATGACACAGTTGAACCAGACGGCATTGACGGGGGTTTGCGTGTATGGGTTGACTTTCTTCCAGATACGAGATAAGGGGAAGCAGTCATCGCGGGCATATGCGTAAGTAACCCGGGAGGCAGCAATCATGCACCCCTGTCCCATTGAGAAACCGCATATTATCGTCAGGGCGAGGATGGTCACGGCTAGTCTGTGTGGCATTACTTGGAACAGGTAAGAGGCCCAGGGCTGGCCAAGGTCTGATTCCAGAACCTCTGTGATGTCTTTGACCGTGTATGCTGCGACGAGCTGGAGGAGCCAACCCAAAATGCCTCCAGCACCCGAGGTGATAACTATGGCGCGTGGAGATGCGATGTTGGAATTTGAACATTCCTCACTCAGGTGGAATGAAGAATCGTAGCCGGACATTGCCCAGATGACGCTGACGAAAGACATCAGAACGGATACTCCTTTCGGAAACGAGGTGCCATCGTATATAGTTCCCCATACCTCAGAGGAGGGAGAAAATTTCGGAGAGTTGCTTGTGCCCACTGGAATGGCAATTAGGACGAAAATAAGCGCAATTATGTTGAAGCTTGACCCGTAGGAATTAAAGTTGGCAATCCATTTTGTTGGCATGCTGCTAATGACCCCATGGATGATCATTATTAGGGCTGTGAGAAGGAACGTTTGATAGGCTGTGGGGATGTAATCTGGGTTGTTTATTGAGGCTGTGGCAAAAATCATGGCTGCTGTTGCATAGTTCACTGATGGAGCCCCCATTACCTGGCCTACCCAATTCGACCAGCCCGTGAACCAAGCAGCAAAAGGTCCGTACTTGGGCGGCGCTAGAACTGCTGCTGCGTAGTAAAGGCCGCCGCTAGAATATGGTTTAGGGTTAACTAAGAAGTAACCCAGCCCCTGAGACGGATATCAAGATCAGGCTTCACGTTACCTTGTAGGAATTGAGGAGCAGAGCTCAGCCATGCTCATGGCGATACATTGAATAAAAGCCATAGCGATAGGCCATCCCCAAACCATTCCTGCGGTGCCCGCATACCCCATACCTGCAGTTCATTTTAGTTCAGATTACCAGGAACGGGCTTAAATTTGTTCGCCTTCAATCCTCGTCCACAGGCATAGAAATGCACTGAAAGGGGGGAACCACATACCCCACCATAGCGTACTTGCAAAGGAAGGGAGAAGCCCAAGAACAGAAAAGCTAACGCAAAACGTTGTCCAGAGAGAAAACTCGCGTTTGAATTCCTGTTTATAGCCCAGTGAAACGAATACACGCTCATCAGAGTCCATTTCACAGTTGATGATAGAGATATCACCGTCAGAGAGCACGGAAGTAACCTGTGCCTTTTCGGCTGCGGAGGGGTCTTTCATTTTGCATTCTGACATGGTCACGAAGAAGCCTGAGATCGAGTCATGCAAACTAAATTGGTTCCAATCGTATATCGTGTTTGTGTGTATTTGTTCTCAAGGAGCGGGAGAAGAGCATGATATGCCTCTCCAATGATATAAGATATCTGCGAACAGATATGAGCGTCCTTAATCTTGATAGCCGGAAATATTACGGAGCAGAATGTCAGCAGCACCCATGACTTGAGAAGTGGTAATATTGCGCATAATAATATTAAATCCTTTAGTTTCCGGGCAATGGACCGCACATATATCACTGGTGAACCGTGATGAGTATCATAATGATCCTGACGGAACATTCATCCAGATGTTGACCCGTGAGGGTTTGCTAAGCTCGAGATAAGCCCTCCTTGTCATGCTAGGCTGTGTTTACCGGTGTTCTACGGAACCATGCATCGGTGCAAGGCAAATTAATTGGTTGAGCGGCGATCCATTCCATATATTCCAACAAAAACCTCGCTTCAAAAGGTCCCAAGTCCCAAGGTTTCACTGAAGCCTGTTGGGCCGACGTGTGAATCGGGGGGAACTCGCAGACCATGTGACCAGTCAGTTAAGTCCACAAGGCATCAAACCTTCAAATGATTTCCTCTCCATTGATTAATCTGTTGCTGTTACTTTCGCAGGGTGCGGCAAAGTAAAGGGCCTGTCAATAATCTCCTCTGCGAAATGGTATGCTAAATGGTGGTTGCTCTCCTTTCTCTTGACCCTTTTGTATTTCTAGGGCTATGCGAGGTGTTGCTTTTATCTTCCTCAGGCTCCGCCGCAGCTCTAAAATAACAGTTGGCAATTGGTTGAAAAAGATAGATTATCTAAAACATATTTGAAGAGTAACTATTTTTTGATCATTTTTACTTGAATTTTTTTACTTTCAATATTTCCATCGATGATCCTATCACCGATTGAGTCCCTTTTTGATTGTAGTGCCTTTTCTCTAACAAAACCACCCCTTGATTATCCTGCAGTTTCAGAGCTGGGATATTCCACCATCATGGCCCAAATTAGCAATGCTAAAATCAAATCCCAGCTTTTAATGCCCTGGGACCAGGATATTGCGAACAGGGCCCCTTGTCTTGATTCGTTGTCACACTCTGCTGTGCCAACTTGCACCAATTTGATACCTTGATATTTCACACTGCGCTACGTCCTCCTTTCGCGCGTGTATCGATATTCTAAAAGGAAAACTTCAAAAGTGTGAAGGATCGCACTGAAATTAATGAGTTTTAGTTTCTACATTTGTAGAAGTTCGTTTGAGAAATCTATTAGCATGATAATAGGCACATCTTAATTGAATCCCCTTGGAGCAGAGATTATACCTGGAGGAGCACAAGTGCATTTCCATAGCCGTTCTTTTACTTATAGACGTCAGTAAACAACGACGACTACTTCTACTACTGCGGCCCTCTCCTCCCACGACTTATTTTTATCTTTTCGTTTATGATGATGGCTGGCCCCCTGCGTGAACTATATTTCTTACTATTCTTACTCTCCGCTAGCTAAATTTAGCAATCAATGCAGGGCATCCAGGAATAATTAAAAAACCCAATTCCATACCGTCATTTAACTAGGTACGGAGAGGGGGCCGGGGGTTGTTTTAATGGTTAGAGAGAATGTCACCGATATATCAAACAACCAGGCACAAGAAAGAAAGTTAGCATAGAGCAAACTCTTATCTCGAAATTCCAGATCGCATAAACACCCGACACATGTATCAAAATATGTTCTCCGATTTCATTCACAATTGTTCCCGATTCCGCTGTTTCACTACATCGCACCTATGATATCATGGTATATCATATCATGTACACGGTAGCCACAAATACCTATCTAGAAGCTAACCCAATTTCCCCACCCACCGGCATGTCATCTCTTTGCAATACATATTCCATCTCTAACTTCCACCAACCTGTTCTGGCACCTTCAACGCATCATATCCGTATTTCTCCTTGAATTTCTCGACCAGAGAGACGTATTTCTCTTGCGCTTCTTCGGCAGAGAGGCCTTCTTCGGCGATCTTTTTCCAGGCGTTGTATTTGTATTTGCCCTACGAAGCAGCAAAGTAGAGCAAAAAGCTGTTAGCTTGGGATAAGTTCTCTTTGGGATGGAAAAGATATATATCAATAGAAACTAGGTATGGGCATTCCCTCTTGGTTCGTAGTGCATACCTTGAAGTCAAATGTTCCAGGCTTGGGAGCATCGTCGAAAGGAGGGTCTTGCGTTCCTTGTTTGAAAAGTGCGTAGAGCTACGTGAATGTTGCAGCAACAGTTAGCTAGTTGTCCCCGCAACAGATGCCTTTTTTCCCTTCTACGTTCTTATCTATTTTCACATATCCCCTGCATAGCCTCCATTATCATTTTTTTTTTTTTTTTTTTTGTGCAAAAGCTTCTCATAAACAAATCAAAAGATAAACATCTAAACCCAAATCATATGAGAAAACGAACTTCTAACAGATCATCATCGCTAGGCTTGCTAGACAGCTTCCGGCTAGCTTCGATGGCGGCTTCAAAATTGGGGGACTTTTGCGCAGCCATTGTTGCGGTGATATTCCCGGGTGTGGGGAAACGGAATCTTAGTTGAAGCGGGGGTGGGACACGAAAAGAGTGTTGTATCGAATCGCTTTCGGTCTAAGTGGATGATATCTTCCGAAATGCAGTCTGCAAAACAAAATGGATACGCCCTGTATTTGACTTTGCTACAAGACAAGACGGCTTCATTAGCAGGAGTAGATAAATTAATATTGCCTTGTTTCAGTGTCGATTTTTGGACAGTTTCGAAATTCGGAGACTTTGCCAAATAGTGATGATGCAGAAATGAGGGACAATACAGAAAGTGAAAACGCAAACATAAAAGAACAAAATCAAGGATAAATGATATAAACTCACCCAAGTAGAAAAACTTCACTCAAAAATGGAATCCAAAGTTACAAGCAAAACCTGGCACTTCTGGTAGGAAATAAGATAGCTTCTGCTCTGCGGATTGAGAAGTTGAAGGCTTCCAGCAGGCTTTAAGAAGTAAGAGTGTAAAGTTATCTAACGTAATTTCCCAGCCGAGCCGGACACCCCAACCGAGTTGGACACCAAATTGAAACTTGTATCAATTTTATCAACCTCCCTACCCTACCTACTTTGACCCGTCAAAATGCCACCAATTCGCAATAAAAACAAAAGAAGCTCTATAGAAAAAGAGGGAAGGATTGAGCTCACGATATTCACCTTTAAAAATAAAAGAAATTACCTCTATTCACTAAGCAGCAAGGCTGTATAATATTCCCACACTCTACTCTTGCTGATCAATTGAAAGGCTGCTCTTCACGTACAATCTTACATGCAAATTCACATTGATTGACTGAAACTGAAGAGGAAATATCTGTTCAATGAGTACTGAGCCTGGCCAAATGAGGATTATCCCCTAGACCTGCTTTTGTGGAGAATATGGCAAATCATCTTCTTGCTGTGTAAGATTCTACATCCTCTCCCCTCACATTGACAAGAACTGGGTTCAAACCTAATAAAACACTGTACGGAGCTTCAAAGTTGATATTCAAGAAACTATAATCATGATTGAGCGAAATGGCAGGATATTAAGATTCTTCAAGGGTGGTTTGACCCTCTGAATAATATCTTTGCTCAATATGGGATTCAGTTTGAAGATATTTATAACTTTGATGAGACTGGATGTGCAATCGACTCTATGCAACTATTAAAGTTGTTATCAGTTCTGAACAACATGACTGTGCAGCTGTCATGGCTCAATCTAGAGTCAGAATGATAATAAGACAAAAGCTTCAATTCATCTATCTAACTAGGCAGCTGCGACGAGAATACTAAACTGGGGATTAGAATGTGAAATGAATGAGCAGTTGAATATAAAGAGGTGGTTGGGGATCAGAACAGATCAACCTTAATCCATATACAAACAGCTGCGCCGTAACACTTATTCTCTATTTTCAAACTATATAATAAATATCTTTTCATCTTTTTCAAATTTAATGATCATCTATGTTATTCTAATGACTCTCATTTGAAAGTCAACTTTATCAAAGTTATATATACTCTCTGATAGAATATCATATTTCTTTCTATTATTCTTTATTAGTTTAAATTATTGAAGTAAAATCTTTGAGTTTTCATATAAGACTCACTGGGTGATCATATCTATGATGTTGAATGAATCTTCACACTCAGCATTTTTCAATTGTAAGTAATGAACTAGAATTTGTACATATCTTTAGTAGTTGAATGATCATATCTTGTATGCTTGTGATTCAGGGGAATAGACATCTCTCATTCATGGATATTATCCATTAAATTAGAGATTCTTCTTCTTCAATTGAGGTCAGCTTTTAATTGTCTTCTTGAGAATTCATGTGTGATTCAACCGCGTAGTAGGTAGGATAGGCTTGAGAGAGCAACATCATACACCTTGGCAGCTGCTCACATGGTTGAAAATTGCTTAGTTTCATAAGCTCTAATGGCTAAAAGAAGCCTTTCTTCCCGATTAAAAGTTTGATCTTTTGATTTGGTGGGCATATTGAATGATTTGGTGCTTTTAGGTGGTTAGAATGGAACAGTTTACGTTAACAGGGCAGGGAATTAGGTAGTTAAGCCGAACGTCACGGGGTAGGCATGGTCATTCAGAGGGTTTGTAGCGCCTCTGGACAACTATCTGGACATCGATGGGACCGATAGACGGGGAAAGAAAAGTGTTATTCCAATATATTTATGTGAAGAGATTTCACTCGTTTCAAATAGGAGATGCAAGAGAAAATAAGTATATGGACAGGTATTTCGCTTCGGTCGGGATTTCTACACGACAAATAAAAGGGGAAAGGTATATGTGGAGGAAAATATGGTGTAGATATCAAAGAAGGCTTCCACAAACCGTGGATCATCATTTATAGAAAAAGATCAAGAAGGAGGTCGGTAATAAATCATAGTGGGGTCAGAGGAATGCGCATTTCAAGGATGAGGAAACACAGACAGCCCGCTCTAACTACGCCAAACGATGCAAACAGGGGATCGAAAAGAAAAGACTTCACGAGTCGTGTTAAGCAAGGACTATTTTCTTAAAAATCAGAAAATATAGAAAAAGAATAACATGGATCTGGTAAGTCATGAAGAGGCTAAAGAAGGGAAGTTTAAAAAGATGGTCAAAACGCCAAAGTGGGTGTGAAATGGGCGAGAAAAGAAGCCCACATGTAATCCCATACACACAACGAAGAGGATGTGTGAGAGCTTCAACAACGGAACCAGTGTCCAATGGCCACTCTCTTTCAACGAGTGACATCGATCATGTTCAAGATCACCAATCAACTGCCCAGCCGTTTTGGGCCAGGAAATCATTGCACGCTGCCTTCAACGCAAAATTTGGTCGAAGATCGCTGATGGTCATGGGAGTGCGGGTGATTGGGTCAATGGGAGAATGTTGCATATGTTTGAGAATGCTGGTGCGTTCGAAGGAGTGGCCAGAAGGAGTGACAACTGGGTCGTGCATTATTTCAAATGTGATGCTGTCTATTAAATAGTCCGGAACAACCTGCAAGAGACGAGGATTAAACATCACGTCAATTATGAGGGGAAGAGAGATGGAATAAAAAGGGAGATGATGAAGGGGAATGGCGAGACAAAAGGAGAAAATATGCATACCCGTTCCTTCATGCTTTCTTCACCCATCGAAGAAGCAAACACATCCCTCACAACATCCAGCCTCCTTTGACCGTCATCCAACAGTTCTTTCTCATCCTCTTTAAATCCAATCTGCCCAATCTCCCCCGCCGCCAACCTCGCGCGTAACTCGCTTAGTTCCTTATCCAGATCCGCCTGTAACAAATCCTCCAGTCTCTTTAGCGTCTCATTCTGGTTCCGCAACCGCGCCGTCTCCTTCGCTGCCCATATCGACTGCTTAGCGCGTAGTATAACCCTTGACAGAGGCTCCGCATTCGGGTTCCTTGTTTCTAAACTAGCTTTGTAGGCTGCGTAGGCGATGTCATGAGCTTCAGCTGGGCGCTGCAGCTCAAGAAGTGCCTGAGACAGGTAGTAGCTTGATTTAACAGAGGCGGGGTTCTTTGGGCCAAAAAGATCTATGGCAATGCGGGCATCGTGCTCGGCGCCCTCCCAGTGTTGGAGCTTTAGTCGAGCAAGAGCACGGTTGTTAAAGAAGGATGGTTCGTGGGAGTTTTTTTGGATTCTGAATGGTTTGCGCCAATTGAGTTAGAAAAATATCTCTCTCTGAATTGTCTAAAGCATGGGGCGCGCGCATCTGAATACTCCACTCCATGATGTGGGGAGAAACAAAGGAGGGAGGTGAGAGGGAGCTTACGCTTGCGAGTAGAGGTCTTCAGCGCCTACGTAGTCGCCTTCCTTAAAGCGTACGTTGCCTTTGGCTTTGAGCTCATATGCCATTTGGTTTTTGGGCACTCGTGAGAAAATATTATACTCGATTGTTGGATAGTGCGAGAAAGACCATCTGGAGGTTTCGGATGTTGGTGTAGGATGATTCGTAGAGAATGAATGTATTAACTACTCCATAGAATAACTCATCTTGGCTAGTGATGTGAGAAGTAGGATAGCTCTATTATAGAGGATTTTGCCCGCAAATGACACAGCTGAAATAATGGCTGGAAAGCTGCGGTGGTAAAACGCGACTATTAATTCAGTGTGATCGAGTTAACTGTATCATGCGACAGAACGCTTGGAAGCCCTTCGAAAAGAGGACCCTTTGGCAGCTAGTCCCTAATTGGTTATATAAGAAAGCTGCTTTATGACAACGACCTATATACTGAAGCAGCGACGAGCTAGGCCGAAAGAGATGCCTCTGTAAAACCTTCGCGGTTAAACTTTCCTCTGGAACCAAAATCTTAATTGATTTAGACTTTTAGCCCAAAACCTTATCTCGACCTTTGTTTGGCTTTACTGAGGCAGGTACCTTTGACTGGTGGGTTTTTGGGATTCTTTTACTCGCAGCAGTGAAAAAGTAGTAAGGATGTTCAATACATGTTAAAGGCCAAGCTCTTTGAATGATTAGCGTATATAGAGATAGTCAAGGATTATTAATGATTCATCGGATTTCCAGATGGTAAGAGTCCCGTTTCACCAAAAAGAAGAGTCACCATGCATAATGACACCTTCATTAAGACATCGTATATAAATTTGAATCAATAGCTAAATCATACGGCCATTTCTGGGCATTGTACATATACTACCAAGCAACGTAGCCTCCCTCCCCCAAACCAAACCTCTAAAACGTCTCCTCCACTTCCCTAACCACCTTCCTCACCCCCTCAATTTCATGCGCAAATCTTCCCAAAAACATCCCATCAACAGCTTTTCCCAGGCCCCCTTTCCCCCACAGACCCGGGCCCGCACTCCCTCCATACAAAACCCTAATGTCCCCTTCTCTCCCACTGCCCCTAACTACCCGTCTAATCCCCTCCACCACACCAGCCACGTGCTCCACACCAGCCGGCACTGGCTTTTCCAATTGCCCAGACAGGCTCGTAAGCAAAGACCACAGGGGCATAGCTAGGCACAGACTCAAGCACTGCTCTAACCTGCACCGCACACTCAACAACTGCCGTTCGCACTGCGTCAGCCATAATTGACCCGGGCCACGAGACTTCACCCACGCAGACGAGAGGGATCATGCCATGAACGCTCACGGCGGCTGCCTTGCGACCAACTTGCTCATCGGTTTCGTGGAAGATGTCGCGCCGTTCGGCGTGGCCGAGTTCGACCAGGGAGACGTTTAGGTCTTTGAGGCATGAGGGGGAGATTTCACCAGTATAGGGGCCCAGGGGTTTCCAGAAGCAATCTTGGGCCCCGAGGAGGAAAGGAGGTGGCTGTCGTTGATTGTTTTGTTGCTGTTGATATTGCTGCTCGGTTGTTTGGAGTTCTGGGAAGTGTGATTGGAGGATTTCAGAGCAGGGGTAGATTGTTAGGAAGTCTGGGATTAGAGCGAGGAGGAGCTGTGAGCGGTTATCGGGGCGGAGAATTTCGTTTTGGGGATCTATGAGGCTGCGGAGGTAGGTAATTGTGCGGGATGGGGTGAAGTACGTTTTTAGAGAGATTACGAGAAGGGTTTTTGGGAGGAGGGGGTATTCAGGAGGAGCCATGATGAATTATTCGATAATGAATAAATATGGATGGAAGCAAAATATTCTTTCTTTGCAAGATCTCTATACCCTTTTGCCTTTTTGTATGGGGTTTCTGTCTGTCTTTTTTCCCCCCCCCCCCCCCCCCGAGGGTTTGGGAACGTAGTTCGCCTTTGTTTCTTCCCGGTTAGGGTATTGTGAAGTTGATATACCAATGTTAGTTTATGGGTAGTTTACTGATCTTTTTGATTTCCTCCTCCAGATATCACAACTATCTCCCTTGATATATCCTCGCCTCTTCCCATCATGTCTCCACCCTCACCCCGTTACTATTGATAATTGCCGTTTTGGTCAATTCGTACAACGAAAAACACTCTAAAATTATTTAGTGCGT